TTGCTACATCTGAATCAAGGAAGAAAATGTTTTGAATTTTATATTTATAATGTATACCTAGTAGTTAATAGATGTTTTAATAAATAATAATAGTTAGTAGCAATTTTTTTTATTTTTTGACTGTGGGGGGGGGCAAAATATGTGTTGCCCCTACCCTGGAATTCCTAAATACGCCACTGCGTCCACATGTTGTATTATACACATGTCAACGGTAAAGAACTTTTGGAAAAGACTAAATATAGGTATCCTATAATATGTCTAGAAACCGCATACGTATTGTTAACAATACATGCATTAGCATTTTAAAGTAATAAGGGTCAGAAACGTAAGRACATGTTGTCAGGTGAATAAAGTCAGCAAATAGAGCACCGAATAAATTATAATGACACTAATTATAAATACACAAGCAATGTCGCAAATCTAGGGGTGCGGATGGGAACTGCCCCCTTCATAAACATTCGACATTTAGCATTAAAATATTTTATACTTTTTCAATAATTAAATGAAAATATGACAATAGAAAATTCAATTTGATGGAAAATGAGATATCAGTTTCATTCATTATTACTCCTTTTTTGAAAATGCATTTAAGCATTTTAGATTGGGTAGTGATTCTTTAAAAAAAAATTTGGTGGATATTGTTATCTCACAAGTCACAATGTATCTCAAATTATATTTTCTATTTTTATTTGATACGTTGATTCATTAATTATTATAATTGATATTTACTATTCCAATTTMATATTTATATGTCTTTATTTTTAGAGTAAGGTTGATATTATAGCAAGTATATGTTATGTAATCACAGCGAACATTTTTTTTTTAAATAGGTGGCACGTTTTAAGATACTATCTTAAATCGTGATAGGTGGGTATTGAATACTTTTGTTTTTTTCAAGGGATAAATCTTCTATAAATGGATATTAATATTATAGAATTAAAAACTACTGGACTGTTTTCAATAAAAGTTATATAAATATAAATTCCTCGAGACTTCATGTATTCGAATTTGAGTTTTCAACCTCTGTAGGTCTACTAGGTGTCTAGGTCAGGTCTGCAGGACAGGACACAGGACAGGACACAGGACGTGGCACTAAGTAATTTTATATTCAGCTGTGCTGATACTTGATACTGTGATATCCATTATCACTTATCAGAGACAGCCGAGATAATCGAGATCAAAATAAACGGTTATCATGATATTACTACAAAATACTTAAAAAAAAAAAATTGGAATTTCGTGAGAACCGAGAACTGATCTAGTGATATTATATTATTATTGTCAATTTAAAATTATTTATTTCATTTAATCATTTTTGTTTTTCTGTCATTTAATATTTGAGTATATTTGACTTGATTGAAATTTAAAATGAGTTTGTCACACACTCGCAGTATATTGCAGGTAAACTATTATACGACATTATATTTTATAGTATTCACATTTCTATGAACACAACAGCTATTTTGATGAAAACACTAGGTTTTATTAAAGAAAATAAATAATTCATTCTTGGTCAAAGTGTAAATAAATAAATAACTTTATGTAAATGTTCATAATAATATTTGTACACCTATAAGAATAATTTGTTTACACAAGATTTTAAAATAAAAATAAATCTAATATTTTTAATTAATCACCTGAAAAATATTCAGTATATTGTTGTAATTTTAAATTATTTCATTTTCAGCACTCGAGCAAAATATTGCAATTCAGTAATAGTCAGATTTCTAATAGTATTCGTGGATTGACTATACCAATTGTAGTAGAACAAACTGGTCGTGGGGAACGTTCTTACGATATATTTTCTAGACTTCTTAAAGAACGTATAGTTTGTGTTATGGGAGAAGTAAGTAAATTAAGTTCCTAATAATCTATTTCATTTTACGTGAACAAATATTTTACATTTCTTAGATCAATGATCATGTTGCGTCATTGGTAATAGCTCAGTTATTGTTTTTACAATTTGAAAATCAAAAAGCCACAATCAATATGTATATTAACAGGTAAAATATTTATTATTTAATAGATTTTATGCATAATTATWCAACATGAATAATAAATTTATGATTTTTGTTTAGCCCTGGTGGTAGTGTTACAGCAGGTTTAGGCATTTATGACACTATGATGTACATTAAGCCAGATGTATCAACTTGGTGCATAGGACAAGCTTGTAGTATGGGAAGTGTTTTATTAGCAGCAGGAACAAAAGGTAAAAGGCATGCGTTACCTCATTCAAGGATAATGATTCACCAGCCATCTGGTGGAATGCAGGTACTTATTACTGAATTATATTTCTATATAAATATAATTTCTTATGTATGAACAAAATATTTTTATGTACATTAAGTATATTTTTTATTTATTAGAAAAATATAAGTAAAACATTACATTATACAAATATTGATAAATGAAGAATAAAAATCAATATAATTAGTTTATTAAAAATATTGCAGGGAAAAGCATCAGATATGAAAATTGTAACTGATGAAATTCTAAGGCTTAAATCATCGTTAATTGACATTTATGGCAAACACACAGGAATGCCTGCAGATAAAATCGGTAAGCTCATTCCATTACCTATCACAAAAATATTTTATATTAGAAGTTAAGAAAATTAATTCAATATTTRTTTTTTTCTTTTCTATAATTACCTGTTAACTTCTTAAATATTTTATAAATTTAAGTAGTTATAGTTATAGGTTTATATACTAAATAAATACTCAGTCAATACTGTCAAAAATGATTTAGAATGTTTTAATTGAAGCATTCAAGGAAGATTTGGACTTCAGATTGAACCAAATGTAGGGTGACTTAGTCACTATCAATAATATATCATAAATTCATATTTGTTAATTTCTCATTGTAATTAATTCCATGTAACATAATGTAGTGTGTCTTGTACCAAACTAATTAAAATAGTAAAACTAGGAAATCAACCTGTAAAATTACTTTTAAWTTTTTTAATTTTAGTATCTAATATGAATTTAAAATAGTAGAAATAAAATTTATAATTTTTTTTAGATGCTAGTATGGAATCGGATCATTTCATGAGTGCAGACGAAGCTGTCACTTTTGGATTGATTGACAAAGTTGAACAACCGTCAATAAATTGATTTTATGTACTATTGTATTTTTCCTGTATATTTTATTCTTGTTAATATTGTATACCAATTTACTAAATTGAAATATTAATATTAAAATTTTGTGGTTGTCCTTTAAATTTGTTTGAMTTTTCATATAAAAAATTTTTTGTAGATTATCAAGAAGTATCATAATTTATTGAGAGTAATTTTTCAAAAAGCTACTGGCTGTCTTAAATATTTGTATATATAATGTTAGAAATTATAAAGTAAACATCAAAATAAACTTACTTTTTTTCAATTATTAGTTTTATAGTTTTTGTGATTTTTTGTTTTAAGGTGAAGGTGCTTTACTTAAGGTTACAGAATAATTAAAATATCTAAACATCTAATTTTGTCTATAATATCTAAATTAATAAAAGTGGAGTTGATTCTGAAGTTAATTGGCTACCATCCAAGAGTGGGAATACATGTGTCTATATTTAGATTACAGATATGCTAAAGAGTGTATCCCTAAAGGTTATAAAATCTACTGAAACCAAAACTATTATGAATGTGTAGTTGCATTGGTTAGTGAAAAAAGTAAAAATTCTAAATATGAATATTTGTGTAAGTGTATGTACATTCCTTATAGCAGTTTTATTTTTTATATATGCTATAGAAGTTCAAGATGATAAAAAGAGTAGTCTGGAAGAACTTTTGTAAGTATTACTTACAGTTATTTTAATTCCTGCTTAATGCAAATATTTAAGGTTTATGCTTTTATAAATTTAATTTAGGGTGGAGAATTGGGCTGAGACATTTGGAAAAGAATTATGGTATCTGGGACAAAATATAACTAAATCTGATGAGATTAGATTGGTATATACTAGATTATACTATAATAGTATTAATCGTATTTTTTATGACATACATATAACATTTATAAATTATAGTCTAARTACTCTAAATTGTGTTTAGCGTTACAAAAAATTGAATGAGACACATGTGTTTAGAACAAATGCCAGTCAACTTCTACAAAACATTTCAACAGCAATGAATCGTATGATAAGATTGAAAATGACAGCTGTATCTGTAAATTAATCTAATTCTATGTGACTACAGTGCCGTAACTAGGCATTGGCAAGGTGGGCGGTGGCCAAGGGCGCAGTTTAAAATGATCGCACTAGGGGCGCAATTTTTATTTCATATAAATACTAAAAATGCATTATTAATTTATAACATTGGTTGCCAAGGGCGCACATAAAGCTAGTTACGGCACTGTGTGACTATGTTGCAACTGAACTATATTTAATGATAAAATAATTTTGTAGTGTCTTATGGATGCAGCCGAACGCTTATCTGAAGAATTTGAATGGAAATTCTATGGAGAAAATGGAATTTCGAACTATACTTATTTTAATGCAAAGTATTCACCAGTTGAGGGTATTGATGATAGTGATGATACAGACAGAACTTCTCCAAATATATCTTTGGATCTAGGAAAAACTATAGTTCAATTAGAATTTAAAACAATGAACCTGACAAAAAATGATCACTTTTATGGATTATCTGTTAATACTGATTACAGCGCAGTTTATTTACCCACAATATTATATGAAAAACGTAAGAGTACTTTCTATTTTTCTATGTTCTTTTATTTAAAGTAATAATATTTTCAGTTAATCATGTTCAAATACCTTTGCAATGGTCTGAAAAATTGGATGAAGTGTTTTTACAAAATTATCGCAGTGATCCATCACTTTCTTGGCAATATTTTGGAAGTACAGCAGGATTTATGCGTCATTATCCAGGTAAAATGATGATAAAGTTCTAATAATTACTATACCAATAAATCATACTGATACATAAGTATGAGAATTTATTMTATTATTCTATAAAACCAATAGTTTGAGTCATATTCATTAAACGTGAGAACATTTTATCCACATGATCATCATACATCATATATTCACTGCTGAAACATTGATTAATATTATTTTATTTTTAGCAATAAGATGGTCAGCTAAACCTAGTGTATTTGACACCCGTTTGCGACCGTGGTACATACAAGCTGCAACTTGTTCAAAGGATGTAGTAATTTTATTAGATATTTCCGGTTCCATGAATGGCATGCATCAATCAATTTCTCAGCTTGTGATCAAATCTCTATTGAAAACATTCAATAATGATGATTCGATAAATATTATTTTTTTTAATACCGGTTTTACTTACTTAGTAACTTGCTTTAAAGAATTATTAGTTCAGGTAATAATAATTATAAATTATAATATACTCAACTTTAATCAGTTCTATGATGTTAAATAGTTTTTATATTGTAGGCTACTCCTGAAAATCTTTACACATTTCATAAAGCTATAATTGAAGATCCAAGATTATTACCATCCAGTACAGCCAACTACAGCAAGGCATTTATTGAAGCTTTTCAACTTTTGTCTAATGTAGGTAGTATTCAAACCACATTAATACCTATTAAATACTTAAAAGGCAATGCAAGCTGGAACACAGAAAATTATTTTTATTTTTTTTTAAACCGGGTATATAACAAAATGATACAACATTTTTAAAGTTCTAAGGACTAAAACATGAAATAGTATCAGATGTAAGGTGATATTGCTTTTTAAAAGGAATGTATTGGGATTTTATTGTTAACTTCTTTATCTAATATGTACAATTTTAGTAAGTACCCTTTTATTTTAGAACAGAAACAATCACAGGTGTTCTGAGGAAACTTGTAATCAAATGATTATGTTGATCACGGATGACGATCCCAATGAAGAACTTTTCGATGTTGTAAAAAAATACAATCGTGTTGATGATAATAAAATCATAAATATACCAGTCCGAATATTCACCTACATGATAGGTCGTGATATTACTACAACACCTGAACTTGAGCGACTTGCTTGTGAAAACAGAGGTTTTGTGTTAACATTATATTATTAACTTAATCTTAATTATACTTAATAATAGAGTAGTATTTATATAAAATGGATATAAATATATAATACTTGAACAATATTTATTATTTTATGTTTGTAGGTAGCTTCGCACACGTACATTCAAAAGATGAAGTACTTGAAAGTGTATTAAAATACATTGCTGTCTTAGCTAGGCCTTTAGTATTACAAGCTGAAAAACATCCTGTTACATGGTCCCATACATTTATGGACATATCTGTAAGTAAAAACATTTATGTATCTAGCATAAATTATTAACTGTATTACTTAAGTTCCAGTTCATAGCTATATAATAATGTTAAGAGCATTTTGTTAGGATCCATATGTTACAAGTGCATTAAAAAAATCAATGGATTTTGATAAGCAGATGAGTGATCTTGCTGCTAATTTGAATGAACAAAAACAATTCCCTAACCAACATAAAATGGATTCTAAGTATTTAAAATTGAACTCTGAGGTAACTCGTGTGTACCAGACCAGCGTCTATCCGACCCAAAATCCTAACTATTAGACCTGTTAGTTCCAATCCTCTAAAAGAAAACACAACAATAACTAATTATAACAACAACCTTTAATGTTGGTATATTATATATTTTGATATTTGTTATGTATATAAATACACTTTCAGAATTTGTACCTAGCGTGAAAACCCAAATTTAAACTACCTAATTATAATATTGACTTATATTTAAGTATTGAATAAAAATATTAGAACATTGTTGTATAGAGTTTAGATGAAAATGGAAATTATCAAGAATACAGGCCAATGACTGCTATTTCCATACCAATATTTAATAAAAAAAGGGATGAATATAATAAGGTAGGTTTCATTTATTTGTTTTGAGCTGTACTATAGTAATAACTACATTTTAATTTCCAACAGTCATATTAATAACTACTTCTTAAGTAGGTATTAATACTTATAATAAACTTGTTGTTTATTTTCAAAAAAAAAAAATATTTTTTATTTAAGACTAAAGTTAAAGGAGATTTGCTCGGTGTTGCTGGAACTGATGTACCAATTGCTGAATTTGAAAAATTAACACTTCCTTACAAAGTAAGCATAATTGTATGAATTTTATAAATAAAATCTTGACTTTAGCTTTGTTAGTTTATTTACTGTCATACTGTTATATAGTTAATTTTATTTAGAATTGTAATATTATCATATTACATTATAACCCAGTGGCGTGGCGAGGTAAAAGTTACATGTGGGCGAAGTAGACTTAAAGAGGCCCTTTTAAAAAATTTTTTAACTTCTGTCATATTTCTCTATGGTTAATTATAAAGCTCTATGGAACGCGAGGCCCTTTGAGGTGTGAGGCCGTGGGCAATGGCCCACACCGCCCACGCCTAGCGCCGCCACTGTTATAACCTATCTTATACACTCTAGTAAATGCTGGTTGGCTTAATTCTGATTAATAAATTGAAAAATAAAAAGGATTAATAGAACACTCCTTTTAAAGCCACTCTAATTCAAAATAACTTTTAAGTAGTTCTACATTATTACCATTATTAGTACTTGTTAGTTGCAAAATTATAAAATAATAATACAGCAACAATAGATTGCGAGGTTTAGAACCAAAAATGCTGCAGATTACAGATTTATGGATAAAAAACATAATATTTGTCACAAAAAGAATTATTTTGACTATGCGGTAGCCTCTTATTTAATTAGTATTTTTTTAAACTTAATTGTTTGATGTTTTGGCATTTTTGGTCGTTTAGGCATTAATTCATATTTAATATCAAAGTAATTATAAATTGATGATAAATATACTCAATTTGTTTTTGAATTTTTAGATTGGTGTAAATGGCTATGCTTTTGTTGTTACAAATAATGGATATGTGCTTTTTCATCCAAAGTTGAGACCTGTTGTAAGTAAAAAATTCAATAAAATCATATATATATATATATACACTTTAAACTTAATTCTTCAACAAAATTTGATTTAAAGGAAGACGGCATTCTAAAAGACAATCACAATAGTATTGATCTAACTGAATTGGAAATGTTGGATGATAGTAGTGATGAAGAGCCAAGACAGCCACATCATGATATAGTTCTTGTATGAAGTAATATTTTTAATCATTTGAAAACATATAATATATTTTGAGTGTTGTTATTTAAGTAGTTACG